GGGTCATCGAGCTGGATAATGAAACGTGCAAATGGAAATGAAGCAGTGCTGTGTCAGATAATATTATGACTGGCCACAAGAAAGGGCGAACGCTCAGTCAACCAGCCGCGCAGACTTTCTGTGACGCTTTTGCCATTGACGTCAAAACGTTCCACACTCCGCGCTCTTCCAGTATAAATTTTCAATGCGAATCTTGTTAGCATCAAAGCATTTTAGCACTTTATAAAAGTACGGAACATTTTTTCACCGTGAAAAATCGAAAATGTATCGTTCTTTTCGTTTTCTATCTGAACGCAACGAAAAATTTATGAAAACGTTAAACCCACTGATGCATCGTCAGGTTCTATTATGTTATCCGCGATGAACAGTGACGTTCAACTTATACTATTTTGTCAATTTTAATAAACGAGGATGCAACAAATCTTTTTCCACGCGCGTATATGGTTGTGCCTATAAGGTGTAGCAGAAAGAGTAACCTTATAAAAATAAATTGTCGACATCGATAATTGCACAAGATTTTTATGCAGGTTTTAATATTCTTTCTCTCGATACGCAATACGTAATGTTTACACAAATATTACGTATACGCAACGAAAAAATCCATTTCAGATAGATTGAAAAACAGCTGATGCAAAGTATATATTTAAACAAGTATTTCGGCAATCTACTCACTGTACGGAATATTCGATAAATGTTAGACTGCGTTTTTGACGGATTTGATTTTAAACATTCGTTAAAGGGTAAACGAATCTATTTGTCTACATTTTGTAGAATGGAATTTGGACGCGTGTTATTGGTTATTTATCGAATTTCGGAAGAATATCGTATTATAAGAATATAATAATTCAGAATATCGGATTGGCAGTGCACGATAAAGTAAGATATTCGTACTTTAAGCACTTTACATAATTTATTTACAAATCGTTGAAAAGACTGCGTATGGAGAAATTTATTTTATTGGGATTTGCTTGGTAACAGAAAATAAACATAATTGTTGCAAACAAATGTTTATAAATTATATAGAACTTTATACACCGGTATGTAAATTTTTGCGTTTCCTACACAACATTGACGGAGTAACAATACCATGAAATGGATCATTGAGTACTCATGGTTAATCAAAAGGCCAATATCCAATGTACGTCCCTGTAGAAATCTATACTTACGTAACCTGACGATAGGCATCACGTGTAATCTGTTTGCCGTATCACGTGGCGCTCGTATTTCAAACCAACGTAATATTGATTTTGTCTTTGATACAAACACTCCAGTTCGGACCTATAATGTCGCCCGTCCATTAAACATAATGTCGTCACATTTTTGGAAAAGTAGTTTCTACTAATTCTTACTTATACATATCGATATAATGAAAGAAAAACTATTCCTTAGGTTACGTCAATCTGTTACAATATCTTGTTACTTCCTTTATTACCCAGTACAAACATCTATAACATGTTCAAATCTTTCTAGCAAAAATTATATATTAGCTCGTAACGAAATAAAATATAAAGAAATCAATAAAGTATATAACACCGGAAGAGCAATGCTCACACCCACAAAGTTGGTTGTCAAAGGATAGCATTACAGATACATAGAATAGCTTTAAGTGAGTTTACCTAACGCTCGCGCTACGAAGACACTTTTGCAAGATGGTTTCTTGTCGTGTATAAGAAAAATAATAATCAAGAATGAGTTTAAATAACTATCAAAAAGAAACAAAATATCATCCGTACCAAAGAAAACGACATAAGCGCGACGATGAACCTACGTAAAAAAAAAGACGAGAAGGATTTATTAATATAACAAGATATTTTTCCGTCTACATCTTTTCAGTACATCCTGCATTGTTGTGATTGTGTTTTCGTTATTGGTAAGAATATTATTGGTAAGCGATCACACGTTGCTCAAGAACGGCGTATAACGGCATTTCGATAGATCGAACTCTTGTCTCGCAAAAGTCGGTCGAAGAAGGAAACAGGCAGATTTTCAAGGATATGCCTCCGATTCGATCGGAGTACGATGCGACTAGAAACGAACTCTTCTGTGAAACTAGTTTCGACTTTCGACAGCCGTATAACTCGGACGCGTTTCGAAATCTGGTAGATAAGTAAAAGGGGTTGAACCGTCTATATAACCGAACTTTAATAAACTACAGCTATACGTGGGGTGTATCTTGAGAAAGTACTCGATTGCTTTCTTTCTTTTCATAGTTTTATCTCGCTGCTTGTTCTCTTGAAGGAAATCAACGGAGCGTAGATAAAAGAGAAAATGGTAATGTGTAATCCTATCGGTAAATCGAAACTGCGGCATGAAAATAATATTTTATCTGATATATACTACGACTTAATTATATATAATTTGAGTACAACTTCGATTGGGAAAATTCATTTTTAAGAATAAAGCTAAATGTCCTAGTTAAAATCTATTTTTTTATTTTCGTTCCTCAGATACGAGAAAACAATGAGCGATCATTAAGACAGTAGATTAAGACAGTATTTAAATTAATTAAGTTAGTTTATGAAAAATGGAATAAAATAAAACGGTGTTCCATATTACGTACCTTCTCTAGAAATCTGTTCAACTTGCTTCCGTTCGGGGGCCATATCTGACCGAATGGCATTATTCGACAAACAGTAATTCATTACATTCTATGACTCTGTGAGATGTGAATGCATTCTACCCTTGAGAACTTGTAGGAAAGCTACCCCTACAGTCTTTGGCGCAGTTCCTTCCCCTCTTCGCTGAAAGCATCAACGTTACCCTGCGTATACCAGAAGTTTCGCCAGAACTTTGTCGACGAACTTCAAGTGCTCCGCTGACGGTGGCGCATTGCAATCATGACCCGCTTCTAGACAAATTGCCGCGATGCACCCAGAAACACGGGCTTTCATCGAGTGCCGGCAAAACAAGTAGTATCGGCGTCCTTAAAGCACGGACTGTAAATCGGTCTGCCGTGTCGCTGTGCTGTTCGCTCAGACTTCCGATCGCCTATCTTTTCTTCGTTAATTCTCTGCTTAATTACACCGGTATCGACTGTGCTACGATCGCGAACCACTTTTCCCGGTGCACCAATTTAATTTCAACGGATCACTTATTTATTGTAGGAACCATTAATGATTGTGGTTAAGCATTAATTTGCTACTGCTACAACAAAGACAGTTTCATTGAAAATGAAACAGCGAAACATCGATTATCTGGAAACCGATTTCCCAGATTTCAGGCTCATTAGACGTTCGATTGTCCGGGTGTTAATCCATCGACGATCGATTCGAATATGTCATCGACTATTCTTATCGCAAGTTACTCGTCCTTGTTTATTTCGTTTAATTTAGATGAAACATTAGCCTGTTGAAGTTTTATTCGATCGACTTCCTCTGTTTCTAAAAGTTCTGTTCACGAATAGTCGTTAACCGGTGTGTGTTATTACCGATTTATCGATTATCGACCTGCGCTGTAGCCGTGCTTATCCGAATAACCGACGTTTTACTGTAATTATTGGATTAATACTTAATAGGAACGCATATTCGTCAATATTTTACTCGATTGCGTGAATATTACGAGTCTAGAACGAGTCCTATTGTTATTTAAGATTGAAATTCGTTTTTCTCTGAAATTGGCGTTTTACTTTGAAAACGGCGAAACGAAGTATACGCATAGTGCCGAAATTAGTTTCCTTCTCGTGTTAAGGTCAATTTACGCTATACAGCACGGACCGGCGCGTAACTACAACGTCAGGTATCGGTCGGTGACGGATGTCGTTGTGAACGTTCTTATTTAAAATATATGTTCTAACGTTTGGTCGTACCGGTGCCGATACGTAACATTGCACGTATCGTGTAAATCGACCTTTAGGCGACACAACACTTTGGCTATTAAGCAATGCAGCCTAATTTAAAATGCGAACATGGACGACAATGGATCTAGTTATAAATAAAACTCATTGCTTGAGGCCAGGTCATCGTCTAATGAAACTACAGTCACGATGCAAAGAGAAGGTGCGTAACAAAGAAAAACAGATTCTTCGGAGTTATAGCGATCGGACAAGACCAGACACTGATAAAGGACGGAATGGGAAGGAAAAAACGAAAAAGGGATGTTTCTGAGATAGGTATTCAACGTCTTGCAAGTAATTGGATCGCACAGCATTCGTCTTATCTGATGAGAATTTATTATTCGAATCAAATGTTTTGAGAAAGCTTCTTGTTCGTCGGTGTGCGGCGGATTCTTCAGCGATTGCCAATCCTTTCTTTTGAAATCCCCCTCTGTTTCACGTCAAGTGCCTGTGGTTTTAATGAGCGGCGACCAGAACGTTCACGAAAATGGAATAGCGATGTTTAAAGCCAAAGGCGAGCTCCCTCGCTAAATATTCTCTTCAACGTGGATTCAATCGAGCCAAAGAGTTCTATGTTCCAAATTTTGTGACGCGACGCGAAGATCAATATGAAATAATCAATTTAACGAAACTTCCTGCCCTTTCTAAGAAGATTATATAACGTAATTACATACTAGCTTCAAAGACACGACACTGCGGACCAAGGATACTTAAGCCATCTAACGACTTCATATTTTTCGACGATATCTTCGAAATACTCCTTGGTATTTTCAATATCGGAGTCATTAGGTCTTTTTCCTTCGAACGATACAAACGACAAACCAGCGAAATTGATTTTTCCCTTTTACGCACAGTCACGTTGGAGCCAGGGAAGTGTACCTGTATTTCGTCAAAATAAACTTAAATTCATGGTTGATGGTAACTCAATAATGAAACCATTACGCAACTGCGCACGATGCACGATCATAAACGAAAAGCGAAGAGCACAAAGAGAGAAAGGAGAACGGGCGAAAGAGGTGGGGAAATGAGAGCAAAAGGACGAAAGGGGCGAAGGAGGAGGGGAAGCTGGCGAAGAGAAAGAGAAAGAGACAGACAGAGGGACTACGCGAGAGACGTAAAGCCAGAGAGAGAGAGGAAAAGGGTGAGAGGTGGGACGAACTAGGGAAATGCGTTATCGTCTGCAGCCAGCTGACAAATCGAAGGTAATAGGGCCGAGCGGAATTCTGCGTAGCAGAACGACCAAGAGCACTGCATCTAGTAGGTACGTGGCTACATACGTACATATGTACCAGGATCGCGTACGTGATGTGCGCATGTCGGAATATGTACTCGCACTACTATGACTACGTGTGTATATCGCGCAGAAGCGCGGCGTATGCGTATACGTACACGTAAGCCTTGCGCCAGCGTGGCTCGCTATTCCTAGCCAATACTACTGAAACATGCTTGCATTCATAGAGTGCGCCGTGGACCAGCGGGAACATTTAACGCTCATTGTCTTCGGTTGACGGACTTCGGAAGCATCTGCTCTTTGGTAAGCTCGCGTTTCTATGAGTTTCGAATAGCGCGTCAAGGGGTTTCAATTTCTAGAAAGTTCGACACTAGTGAATCGCTTCTCTATCGAAAATTCGGTATGTTTCAGTTTCTGTTGGCATTGATTTGCACTTCGAGTAATAGCAGTCGTCTGTACACGGTATTTCATTTTTCTGATTTTCCCAGATGTATTAGCGTCGTTCGTCGTTGAAAAGTTTTATATTCGTTATTTTTTCTGTCTTATGCGTATAAGATCGAGTCTAGTGAACGTTTTGGTGGATATATTTATTTGCATATACATACACGTGGAAAGAATAAGCCTCCAAACGTTTGTTAATCGAATATTAGTTCGCAGAGGTTTAAAGTAATCGATCACCGTAATCCTGACACACAAGAAGATGAATTTTCAATTCTTAAGTAGATTTAAGTCCGCGTTTTCTTTAGAATGTAAACTGAAATTTATACGAAAATTATCTATCTCGCCGTCTCGAAACGAACCTATTAACGATATATTCGTGTACTTGCGCATTTTTATACTACATTGCAATTTCTATCCTTACAAAGAATTTGCACGCATCTTTAATACGTCGCAAGATCTTGTGTAACACAAATTACGTAAGTTAGATCAAAGCAATGTTTGATTTCGTACTCGCTGAAGGAAAATAACGAAAAGACCGAGTGCAGAAGATAACGATAATGAAGATTCCTGGTGATACGAATGCATACGTGAGCCGGTGGTTGAAGCAATTGGCTAGTTTAACCTCTGCTCAACGGCAACTGGGAAACGTAAGATACACGGCGCGACTGGTTCCACCTCTGGCCGCAATCCCGACAGGGTATTGCAGCATAGAGTAGCGAATAACTGTAGCTCGTACAAGCGCGACGACGCGGCATCGTGCCAGGAGCTGGTACTCTGGCACGACCCACGACCCCCGCATTTTCCAACCCAGGTTCTGGCATAGGCCGCGGCACTAGGCCGACGCAAGCCATCGCCAATGAGTGCATGTCTGGGGCGGAGCATGGTCGACACCGAGCAGACGCGATTTCGACCTGCTTTATACCTTCCACTATGCACCCCGTTCCAAAAAGAAAACCTTTCAGAAATTAATTATTACTTGCCACTTTTACCTTCTTTTCTAACACTTTCTCCCGTATAGACGTTTTGTTTGCACAGGCCGTGTATACCTGTTGTTCCTCGAAGATGCAACGAAATTTTATTCGCGATTGACAACATCCAAAAAGGTAACATTTATTTGCAACGAATTTTATTTCGTAAGAACGTACGAAATGAAATTGGATAGTGCGGTAACTTGATTCGACGCACCGTTCCGAGCAATTTTCCTCTATCGTCCTCATCCATGTTTTTTCAGTGACACGCGTCTTTACGATGCAGACACGTATCGAAATATTCTTTAACGTATCAGCCATTTGTCCATACGCTACCAATACTCCTTCCTTTCGTTCAATTCACTTCAATCACCGAACCAGATCCCGCTGCTTCCTTCTCCTGTTTCAATCTTATCGTTTAGGAAAGAAACCACCACCGAGCGTGAAAGTGCATTCGTTCTGGTGTCGTCATCGGCGTCGGCAGGCACAGACGTGACCTACTTGCGCTATTGACCTGTTGGTGATGCTGGTGGGCGAAGTGTTGAAAGGGGGAGACGTGGATAAGAGGGAGAAGTCCGTCCAGGTGAAGGAAATGGTGGAGGATACCAGGTCGGGAGGACGAGCGGCGAAGCGAGGGGACAGGGGCTGAATGCACTTGACGCATCAGAACACGGAGAGAACGAGCGACTGCCGCATGCGGTCCCAGCGCGCGCAGCCTACTACTACTTATCCTATCCATTCACTACACACCTATATATACCTATACATATATATACATACACATATATAGGTATTCCTATTATATATGTATTGTGTACACGTACATTGGTCTGTGTATATAGTGCATTTTCCAGAGTTCGTGTCTCTAGAAACATGTGGGATCTTTCTTCCTGAAGGACTGACCAAACTGCCACTGAATACCATCGTCGTTATTTTTATTATAATTTCTCTTTCGAGTATCGATCAACGAAGATCACGCAAATTCTAATTGATAAGAATTTATCAGTAGAATACGAATGAAACATTATTTTTTAATTTTAATTATCGATTATGTCGTCCAAGTACTTTCCTTACTATCAAAAATCCTGCGTTCTAATCCAAACTGAGTTCTAACATTTTCTGGATCGGTAACGTTATTTCCCCGTTATAAAGGTAAACGCTTGTATTATAATTTTCATTTCGTTTAACGTTGTAATTTTTTTTTTCATACTTTTAAATCATTCGTTACTCGATAGAATGTTCTCAAAATCTTTCATTTTAATGGCAGGGGAACGATTTATCGTATTTTGGAGAACTCGGATAAGGTTAAAAACGTTATTAGAAAGGTATTTTTCGATCAAGTTTATGACGAGTGTCGCGATAAAGAAGATTCATGAATTTCTACTGCTGCATATCGAAATTGGCTCGTACCCGTAACATATCAACTAATTTTCGATGACGAATACATGGATGGATATCTTGAGCGAAGAATTTCTGACACGATCAAATCAGAGGAACGTTTTGAAGCTGTGCCTGGAAATTGCTCGATGGCAAGGAGGGGACTGAAATATTCGCAAAGCTTCAAATTGATTCGACCGATCGATTCGCGGCATTTAAATTTACAATGTTTAATAAGCCGCACGGATTGCCGACCAATAAAGATCCCGGTAGCTCCGTCTTTCCAGTGGTAACCGGAAGAAGAAATGCTTCGGAAAAATTTCACCTTCCATCAGTATCCAGAATGTGCCAGGACGCATCAGCTGCGTGGGATTTCGATGGTGAGTCACTTCTTTAACGTCGAACAAATGTGTCGGGACGTGCGACGAGAGGCAAAAAACGAAAGCGGGAGAAAGGGGGAAAGTGTCAGAAAGAGAAGAGCAAAGGGGTAAAAGAGACAGAGAGTTGATCTGGAGATCTGGTGGTGGAGGTGGTGGTAGTGGTGGAAGGGTAGTCACATTGGATGGAAAAACTCGGTGCCGGATCGTCAAGGCAGAAAGAGGAGAGGCGGATGGTGGAGACCGAGTCGAAGTTCTGGAGGGAGCAAGAACGAGGAGAAGGAAGAGGAGTGCAAGACTTCTCAATGGAGTGAGGGATAAAAAGCAAATACGTTTCACTCACTCGCGTTTTCCGTTAGCAAATTCAATCTCGTCGGGAGTCCCTTTAACATTGTGCCTGTAATAGGGAGGATGAAGAGGGACTAAAGGGGAGGTTGAGGTGTGAGGAGTGAACCGTAGGGGGCGAAGGTGGAAAGAGGATGAGGGCAGGGGGCAGGTGTCGCCCGTATAACGACTTTATCACACCCTCCGATTCTCCCCCTTTATCCTCAACCTTTTTCACCTTCCTAACCTAGCACCACACAGCTCACACCTCAGCGGCGACTATTATCGACTTTGACTGAACCCTGAGTCGGTTCACCTTTAAGCTAGCCGACTGAAGCCACCCGGGGTTTGTTTGAGCGGATAATGCAATATCCATCCTTTAGCGAGAGGAGCCAATAAAAGTGGTGGCCCATCCGTTCGGAAGTTGAAGGTTTTTTTAACCTCCTCGACGATCCACGATTCTATGCGTATCTCTTGATTGACACTGGCTCGTGATATTTTGCTAATTTTTTATCAGATCTACAAACTTCGGAATATATATTTTGATGAAGTTTTGGGTCAACGCTGCTGCTGCTGCTGCTGCTGCTGCACCGGGCTATCGCCTTTGCTCAACTTTAATAAGACGTACATCGAGTTTAGAGTAAATCGAAAAAACGAAAATATTTGTCGTATCTATAGAAGGTCGTGTTTGCTGTGACAACAGAGTAGGATTTCTCTTCGATAGGAATAAAATTTCGCTCCGAATCGGAGAGCAAGAAAAATTGGCAAAGTCAATAAAGTCAATTAATAAAAACTAACTTGCCGAGGAGCGGCAAAAGGGGCTAAAGGTGCGTTAGGAGAGGCAGGCTTCGATCGGTAGAACAGAGATGGGCTTTCGGCTCGTTAAAACTTGCCTTATTAACATTTTTCATGCGCGGATGCCTCGCGGAATGTTGAGAACTTTATCCAACTAGATAAAGAACGATTATATCGAGTTTCTTACGAAAACCAAACTTCGAATACGTGGTCAATTTGACAATTGATCAAATCGCGTTACAAAGCTGGCCAAAGATTTCGTCGTTTCTACGTTTAGATGAAAATATTTAAACGTTTTTTTAAATATCGTACGCGTATAATTACGCTGCCGTTGAGTAATCGGAGAAATTACAAGGCATAAGTAATTACATCTTTTCGCAATTTCAGCAAATAGATAAAAAAATCTGAAAATCAAGTGCTAATTCAGACACGCTACAAGTTCATAGTTGTAGCGAACATTGAACAATTTATTATACTGTAAGTACGTAGTATTCGATGTTATACGTCTAGCGCTAAAATATCATTGGGAACGACCTGGTGGGTTGAAAATTCTCGGGTTATTATCCGATACCCGGCGGAAAGCACGTTTGGCAAGAGAATTTCGCGAGAACTGAGTGGCATTTTCGTTCAAGCATTAACACCGGTGTTTAGTGGACAAGCGCGACCTGGCTCCAGCATGTTAAACAAGTACGTCCATTAATCAGGACCGAGTCACAAGTAACTTGACCCACGCGGCGCGATGCCATAGGGTGGGTTTCCAACAACGAAGGTTGGAACCGTCTCTCTGCCTCTGTCTTTCCCTACCCTTCTTTGCGTCGCCTCCTCACGGGTCCATTTGTTATGCCCAGGTGACACTCAATTATGTCGCGCGCAAAAGGGTTGCAAGAAAGACGCTGGCTAACTAGTGCGGAAACTTTCCTAACAACGTAGTCCTTTGCTCACTTTGTATCGTAACTCTTCGCGAAAAGATACATCGAAGAGGAACCATGGTTCAACGTACTTCGATGAAATCCTCCACGGAATACGTAACTAAGTTCATGCGAAATGGATCGAGTCGTACATTTCTTTGTTAGCGTTTAGAAAATTGAGTTTGTGATCGATCGAGAACCGACTTACGGAGCAAACAGGTTGTTTGAAATAATTCAGATAAGGTTTGCGAAATTTCTTAATTTCGAATACCGGCTACTGACATTCACATCGTGTGCAATTTCAACTCTTTAATATCGAATTAAGTTTACGAGACATCGTTATCGAGTTGGTATAAATATTTAAGAATTGCACACGGACGATTATTTTATCAAATATCGCGTTCGATTAATAGATAATTCCATGAATAATTAAAAAGAATGAACAGCGACGAGTTACGAACGAGGCCCCCGTCATCAGGTAGCACGATTCTGTACATCGTACATCGTACACGTGTATCCACGATGATATTCCATTCATTTGAAAATCGTTGTTATCGAATTCATAAAAGGCAATAATTCGATTGAGAAAAAATCAGGGAATTAGTGTTGGTATGTGATCTGTCCCCGTTTAATCTGCCTTTATTATCGACAGAGTTATTCGCGCTATTTACGTGGACGAGAGGGAGCATGGGGCGATCGATAGCGCGGCAGCTCGGACGTCAGCTCGAAAAATACGCGAAAAATAGCTGGCAAATAAAAAAGCCGACCCGGAAAAGCGAACTGTCTGCTAACTGCAATGCCTGGAGCGACGCCGATCGCGAGGTCCAGCCAGTGTGAAAGCGCTAGAAGCGCGCGGATTTTTACACCTCGCACGAAACGCACACGCCTGATATTAAATTCCAACTCGGCATATTCGATACGCATAAAGCAACGTAGCGGAATATAATTTTCGAGTTGCTTCCAATTAATACACGAAATGAAAGTAGCTCAAAAGGGAAAGAATATGCCGGTGTCCGAAATGATTGGGGAGGAACGGTGAAAGCCGACGAAGAGAGAAGGGTCGAACGAGTGAAAAAGGGAAAGAGAGGAGAAGAGAGAGATGGCTAGAGGTAGGGAGAGGCGGAGAGAAACGTGGGAAGTACGAGATGGATCGCGAACAGGGGGTGGATGAGTGGGCTGCCGGGCGACTATTTGCTCGCTCGCATTTAATATCGAAATCGGCCAATCATACGCGAATGTAACGAAATACTAAAATTATTTGGTAGAACGACCAGTCGATGAGAGGCGGAATAGGAGGGAAACGCGTACGGCGAAAAGGGGATGAGCTTTTTTACAGGATATGCTGCTATTTATTCGCGATCATTACGTCCGTTCGCAACCGATCGCGTTATGCGTCGGGAATTTCGTGTAATTAAAGACCTTATTAGTTACCCGAGCTATGGATCGCTGCTTAGTTTCATTACGACGGTGTACTCCGTGTTCAAAAAGCTATCGAACGAGCGAACGAACGAATGGCATATTTCGTTCTTTTGCCATCAGCCTCGTACGATTAAACCGCCTCCTTCCGGTGCTAATTTTAAAATCGATGCCTACCGTGAAGCAACGATTCCGAAGCTCGTTTTTAATAAGTACGAAATACGAGTAGGCAATACAATATCGTTGAAACGTTACCCGCATTGTATCGTTGCCGCGCGTATTTTATTCGAACGAAACGTTAAATATTAGCGGATATTTTCCGTCGTATTCGAAATAAATTCCGAGTTTTCACGAACGTCCAAATAACAGGAACTAGCAGAAACGGTTTGCAAGATACGTATCGAAAATTGTTTTCAAGCCTTTTAGTGTATATCGCGATATCGCGGTGCGATATACGAAAGGCAGGGACGCGAGCTGCCCGTTGCGTCTGCGTCATGAAAATGCCTGAACGCGAGGTATACCTGAAGCTGAACGTTTCAGAGAGGCCGCGTTACATGGAAAATAGCCCGCTAACAGTTTGATGAGAGCCACGGGGTACGTGGAGCAAACGGGGTGGGCACTGCGCAGGATGGATGTAATTAAAGTGGTGACACGCTAGCCGTGGGGTATGTCTACCCCAATCCAAATCCTGCGCAACCCCCGGATCCCTGTCCCTCAAGATAATTCGGACACCGTGTAATCGATACGTTCTCGAGGCTGACGTACAGACAATTTCAAAAGGGATGATTCCC